GCTCCAGATTGGGGCCTGTCCAAGTGAGGCATCTGCACATTCACTCCTTGTACATGAAGAGCTGCTTCCTGAGTGCTTTCTCTCTTAACTTTGGCCATGCGGGCAAGGTGAAACTACTTTAAATTGGATGAGCCAGTGCTTCAGACACATTGATGAAGAGCGAATTTGCTAAAGGAGAGAATCTTGTGTGTCTTTTGAGAGGCTGCCAACATCCGCAGTCACTCTTGAGTTAAAGTAAAGCACAGCCTATTAGATTGTGAAGAGGCTGAAGTTTGGCAAATGCACTCGAGGGAAATAAAATATATCCAACGGTGGAGACGAACTTAAGAAGTTAAAAGTGATGTCTGACATAAAAGATGAGATTACTGGTTAAATTATTTGGCTGTTGTAAATCTTGATAGTTCATCCATTTCAGATATTAAATATTAAAAGTGTATAAATAAGTTGGCAATTATTGGGGCATCTTAAAAGCCTAATACTTTGTTAAACTGGGTCCAAGTTCTTAACAAAGGCTTCATATATTGACAATTGTCTTGTTCAAACCTGTACATCTTACAGTTGAAACTAGAAGTTTACATACACTGTATCAAAAAGGCAGAAAACCATTTTTAAAAAAAAAGTCAGAAGTAACTAAACTTTTTCTTTTTTAGGTAGGTTAGGATTATCAAATTAGTTTCTGTTATACTTAATAGCAGAATAACGAGAGAGATATTGTTATAGCTTTTTCTTGAAAGTCAAGTTTACATACGATAAGATTTTTATGCCTCTGAAAAAGCTCAGGTGATGTTGTCAAGGTTTTGGAAGTTTCTGATTGGCTAATTGACAACATTTGAGTTCATTGGAAGCAGTACTGTAAAATAGAGTTTAAGGAAAACCTCAAACACACTGCTTCCTTGTGTGACAACATGGAGAAATCAACAAGCTTACAATTTTCTAAATAACATTGGGAAAAAGAATAATGTTTGGAGACATGTCCTGTGGTCTGATGGAACTAGGATTGAACTATTTGGCCATAATGACCAGTGTTACATTTGGAGGACAAAGGGGAAAGCTTAAAAGCCTAGGACCACCATCCCAACTGTGAAGAATGGGGGCGGCAGCTTGTGGGGCTGTTTTGCTGCAGGAGGAACTGGTCCCCTACACAGCACAGATGGCATCATGAAGAAAGAACATTATGTAGAAATACTGAAGCAACCTCTCAAGACATCAGCCAGGAAATTAAAACTTGGCCACAAATGGGTCTTCCAAACAGACCATGACCCTAAGCATACTGTCAAATTAGTTAAAATGTGCTTTAAGGACAACAGAGGGAATGTTTTGTAGTGGCCATCACAAAGCCCTGAGCTCAATCTTATAGAAAATTTGTAAGCAGAGTTAAAAAAAAACTTGTGTGAGCAAGACAGCCAACAAATCTGACTCAGATACACCAATTCTGTCAGAAGGAATGGGACAAAACTCTTTCAAACTATTGTGAGAAGCTTGTAGAAGGATACCCAAAATTTTTGACCAAAGTTATACAGTTTAAAAGCAAAGCTAAAAAAAAACAAAACAAGGAAATGTATGTAAACTTTTGAAATTTTAAATTTTAAAAATAAATAAATAAATAAATAAATAAATAAATAAATCTCATCTTATTCTGGCATTTAGCAAATGTAAATCATTTAGGTAATCCTAACGGACCTAAAATAGTAAACGTTTAATATGATTTACTGTCAGACATTTAAGAATTTATAATTAAAAATGTATTTTAAATGGTTATGTTTCTTTTTTTAGAGTGTGTGTAAAGTTATGGTTTCAGCTGTAATTGTTTTGTTCAATCCACTTAAATTTGTAAAAATTAATAAGTTAAATTAATTTGTTCATGTTGTCCCAACACAAATCGATTGTGGGGAACCCAGAGCTTTTTACAGTATAGGGAAAACAAAGTTACATACTTTTAAATGGGATGGTTCTTGATATTCAGTCACACATGACCGCTCCAACTTTTTTTAATAACTTTTAAGCTGCCTAAATATGGATTTTTTTTTATGTCAAACATGGTTATTGTCAAAAGATGGAGACTAAATCTAAATTTTTTCCCTCCAAAAAATTTAAGCGTTTTTCCAATGCCCAATAGCTATACCAGATTTTTCTAATACCAGATTTTTACCCCGGTTGAGACACTTGGTTTTGACAATAGATATGCCTCATTCACACGGGCATCAAATTCAACGCTTTTGAATGGGTGACGTCAATCGTTGCCGAACTGCATTGTGGATCCGTCGGCGCCACTTCAGTGGCGTTGCTCGCTGCAGAAGTTGGAACTTGCTCAACTTTTCAAGCACCGACGAAAGCATCAGCCAATCAGATAGCTGTATGCAAATACACACGCTCAGACAGTAGCCGATTGCGAACTAATTTCATTGGCTGACGCTGCAATGACGATTGCGTCAGGCCTAATGTTAGACACACCCTCTGTCAAGCGTTGACGCTGAAGCCCTGTGTGAATGAGGCGTTAGAGCGATCTTGGGCGGAGTAAGTGTAAACAGCTTCTGCCAACAAGAAGGGCTATTTACACTATTACACTGTTGCGGTAATGAGACATTTCAAAATTTGTAAAACATTTAGGTAAATTTTTTTCTAATTATTGTAAACAACGGTGAAATTTGTTGATTTAAAACTTTGTGTAATGTTAAATATCACCAGATTACTTTGGAGATTTCTAATTGAACTGCTGCCTATTGTAAGTTGAGGATCAGTTAAATAGCTTCCGCTGCTGGTGTTGTGCAATCATCCACTTACAGATGTAACTGATCCTTAATTAACAGCTCCTGCACTGATTTCTCCGTCCGTATAATGCTTGACTTTTGCCTCTTAACTTTGATCACTTTTCATTGGCTACTGTACCTACAGTAAATGCATTATGTTAGCTGAGGATTTGATGAGAAATTAACAGATGAATAGCATCAATGAGAATGACAGGGAAGCAGTACGGACAAGTTTTTCATTGTACAAAGCTTGGCTGTAATCTCTTTATCTCTTTCTCTCCTGTGCGTCAGGACAAAGCTTAATACTCACAAGAGCACACTTGGATGGCACACTGAGGCATTATGGAAACTGTGGGAAATGAACCTTTAGAGCCACTATGTATTTAGGCTGATCATCCTGAATTATGAGCTGAGTGGAAAAGAATGGCTCATCCAGAATTTAAAACAAAGTTATTTGATCTTATAATCAATCAATTAATTAATTAATCAATTAATTAATCAATTCATTAATCAAACAATCAACCAACCAATCAAATCAATATATTTTGTTGACCACGTGGCAAGGTTTTGAAGGTACAATATTAGTTTTGCTGACTTGAACTTTGACATGCAGCAAATTTTGTATTAGCTATGTGGAAATATAGATTTATACAATCTAGTTTCAAATTAACAGTGATATATACAGTAAAGTCAGAATTAATAGAACCTCACACCTGAATTATTAGCGCTCCTGTTTATTTTTTTCCCCAATTTCTGTTTAACGAAGAGATTTTTTCAACACATTTCTATTTAGCTTTAAGTGACATTTAAAGGCTAAATTAGGTTAATTAAGTTAACTAGGCAGGATAAGGTTATTAGGCAAGTTATTGTATAACAGCAGTTTGTTCTGTAGACTATTGGAAAAAAATATAGCTTAAAGGGGATAACTATTTTGACCTTAAAGGTTCAGGACACCCTGGAGAACTTTTTTTATATATTAACAGATTTGTGTGTGTTGAGCATCAGTTAAGACAATGTTAGCACCTCTCAGCTTTAATTGTGGGGAAAACTGGATAATTTTGAGCTTTTGTCAGCTAATTTCAGCTTCCGGGTTTAAAATTATTTTTGGGGCGGGATCAAAATCGGCGACGTAGCGAAGTACCGCAAGAGCAATGATGACGCATCGGTTTCTCATTATCATTCAAAGCGGAGTTTCCTTATCCTATGAGAAGAGCCGGCTGCTTAATTATTCATAAGAGCACGACAGCACGACAGCACGACAGTGCCAAGCTCAATCTGTGAGACACGGACCCATGGCACCCAGTAGCCGTTTATGAAGGCTCGTATGTGTTTGTTTCCATGATCCACGGGGTTTGTTGCATGTTTTTCTCCGCGATCCTGTCAGGGCCGATCATACAGCAAGGCTGTGTGTGTAATGCAAGCATTTTTGTCGGGAGAGCAGCACGAGAATCGGAGAATGGCGGATGTTGTCTTGTATCAGGAGTTTATTCACATTCAGACATCGCCGTGCTGCTGTGTTTGCCTAAATCCTCCAGATTACCAGCAGGACTAATGGTTAAAATAGACGGGTCAGGAGACCTGCTGCACTGAGTCTGCATTTAGATCTATGATTCAGACCCGGGGATTGAGGGAGAAGTCCTCATTTATAGTGATAACACGATTATCTTTATAATGATATAAATTGTGGTTGTCTGTATATGAAATTACGAATAACAAATGTAGCAGGTCATTAAATTACTGTTTATTTCTTTGCATTTTAACTTTGTAAACTATAAACTCATGCGTCTCCTCACGCTTTGTCTCAATTTGTGACATCAACAGTTGTTCGCTCCCCTTCTCCCCTGCTGGCCACGCCCACTCCTGCCCTATGCTCGCGGAGCTCCACGTCCATTAATCATGCATCTTTTGAAAAAATTCTGAAGTAGACTTTAACCGAAAGTGGGGGGTGTCATGGCCCTTTAAAATGGGGGGGTCTTTTCCACATTATCATCAGTGTGCAGCATCCACTTGTATGATGCGACGCAAGCCACAGAACAACGACGCCAGTGCTCTCAACACACACCAGCTAGTGCAGGAGTGGAGAGACAGTGTCTATTCTGTGGATGAGGATAATTGGGAGGGCCATCAGAGGGAATTTGGCCTAGCACCGGGGTTACAACCTGTTAGATTTTGCTGTATTTGGCTTAACCGTTCTTGGGGGGCTCGCCAATGTATTAGATTACTCTAACACATAAAATAAGTAAGCTGACCAAAGTTCTTACGGAGAGAAGACTTTATTGAAGACAATGAATAGTGCAGTTCCTGAGCAGTGATGTTAACCCGTCGGTCTTCAAGTAACTTAACCCAAAGTACTGTCTGTGAGACAGTACTTTATACTAGCATCAAACAAACCATTCTGTTTACGAAGCTCAGCAGGACCCTCTTCAGATGTTTCAGCTGTTGTTTTGCTAATACCCATTGAGATTGTAAAAGGGTCATTTAGTTCACACCTATCAGTTTGTGGGGGTCGAGGCACAGGTCACCCCATCATATCACATCAGAGTTTAATCAATGTAAATGCAACTGAACTAAAATGCACATAATCTTTCAATCCCTCCTCTGATCATATTTGATCATAAAACAAGTTAATCATGTATACAGCAATCTGCAATACAGGCTATATAACTTAAAGTGACAGAATAACAAGGCATGGTGAAGCTTGCATTTCCTCAAATGCCTGAGTCCATTTCTATTTGAAGTTGTAATGTTGTAGAAGTAGCAGGATGTGGTTGTGTTCTGTGGATGTTTAGGTGTGTTCATCTAGGTGTCTGGTGTTGTGTGTCTCTGGTCATCCTCTGGAACACCTGCAATCACACAAAAGCGAAAAGGGAAACGTATCTTGCCCAGAAAAAGATTTCAGAGAAATTTTCAAGCTGCCTATAGAAAGTATAGAAACTGTCCCTATTTAATATTGACAGGACACTACAGTGTTTATCAGTGGTGGTTAATGTCTTCATCCTCAGGCGACAAGCTAGAGCCTAAAAACTCTAGTCCCGCCATATCTGGACTCTGAAAAACACTACTGTCATCTATCCCTCGTCTCTAGGCAAACTCACGTTGATCCATTCATCAAGTCCCTGAACATTAATTATTGAATCAGATACTAAAACTTTCTCAAGTGAGCTCTTCCACTTGGATTTTAGTGGTAGTTTCTGAGGTTGTCGTGTCTTTACCCATTTACTGGGCTCTAAACAATGGCCCCTCTCTAGAGGTGACAAAACTTGATTAATGTCCTTATGTACGGCCAGGCTGAGTCTTGCTTCATTTTGGACAAGGCTGTCAGATGTCAGGTTTTCAGTGGACATGGGCTGGCTTGGGGCATGTTCAAAAGGGCATAGTCTGTTTCCATCCATACTGCATTGGTTGCCATCACGCAGTTCTTTTGCATCGTCCATCAGCATTTCTTTTGTTGAATTTTTATTTGCAGTCTGCATTCTGTCTAAGAATGATCGGTGATCTTGCTGAAGCTGTCTTAATGCCGCTGTATGTTCACCTCTCTCCTTTACGGCTTGTTTGGCAACACCATCTACTAGGACATCAAACTTGTTTTCATCTGTTGAGACTTCTGTGTCAGCTTTTACCCTATTGTTTGCATACACATTCAGTTCATCAGCTTCTGGAAAAGACGTCACTAGCTGGTGCTGCAGAGAGAGGTTCTTCAGTTTCCCTGCGGCTGTACAGCATTTAGCAGAGTCTGTTTTTGCTGTATTGTTAGCTGCTGAAACAGCTTGAACAGGTGGTCATCATCATGGCTTTGATGTTTTAAACTGAGCTTGCACTCACGGGCCCAGTGTCCTTCTTCATTGCAATTCCTGCATCTTCCTTTAGTTCGTAGTTTTGAGTATCCCATATACTCACGTTCTTTTTGCTCATCCTCAATTCTTCTGTTCTTGTAAAACAAACTTTCCGATTGCAAAGATCTGAGTCTGACATCTTGTGCTCTCTCCAGTTTAGCTGACCTTTCAACAATCTGGATGAAAGTTGTTACAGTGCTGTCCCAGTCATCATACCTGATTTTAAGATCTTTAGAAATCTCAGGATTGAGTCCATTGACAAATGCTGTTTTCAGGGGAATTCCAGTGTCTTTGTCAAGATCTTCACTTGTATTCAGACCAGAATGTTCCGTCCATATATGTCTGAAGCGTTCTTCAAACTCTGCAACACTTTCTCCAGTTTTCTGCATGCATGAGGTAATTCTTGCCCAATTGACCTCTGCAGGTTTCAGTTCAAACAAGAAGTTTTTTATGGCTTCCCATCCATCCTCTATGTTTTCTTGTGATTCACCAATCCTTCTTTCAACACTTTCTGTAAGTCTCTTTTGGTCACTGTCTCTTAAGGTGACATTAAGAATCATCACACCGTCTAGTGGATGTAAAATGTAGATTTTCTGCAGTCGTTGAAGAAACTGCCAAACCTTTCGTGGTTGTTTGTATACATCTGGCAGCTCTTTTGACCATTTGTCAACTTGCTCTGGAGTTGCTGGATGGTATGTCCTGTATGGAACATACTTCTTTACCAATTTTTTCACAGTGCGAGTTCGTCTCTCTCCATTGTCTTCATAGCCCTCCTCATTGTCAATTTCAACGTTAGTCCTTCTGTGTTTGACAATCACAGGAGCTAATCTAATCTTTGAGTTCACTGGGTCATGAACACAGGTGTTGATGGAAAGATCAGCCTCACTGTCAACAAAGCTGCTTGAAGATCTTGATTCCAGCTGTTTGGAGATCAAAGTCAATAGCTTGTTGTTTTCCTTTTCCAGTCTTTCTTTATGCGCCTTTAAGTTTTGCAATTGTTCAGCCAGTGCTCGAACTTTAGCTTTCTCCGCTTTGTTCTCACGTTCCAATCTGTCAGTCTCACACTTATGCTCATGTTGAAGAATTTGCTTAACCAAAATCACAGACAATCCATCCTTCTTGGTGGTTGTGCATAAGCGCTGTGTCTTTCCATAAGCCCTTTTAATGTCCAGCAATGCCCATAATCCACTCCCTGAGTGCTTGATGCTGTACTTCTTGCATACATCATCACGAAACTTCCTCAGTCCCAGCCTTTTGTCTAAATATGCATTCAAATTCTCCAACATCTGGTCAATGGTAACACATGGAGGTTCTGTTCCATGTTTTTCTGATGTTGTTCTCAGGGTAGCTCCATTAGCATAGTTTCTTGAAGACTCAGCCATGGGAAGTACAGGACAGTGCTCTCAGAGGTGTGAAACAGAACAAAAGGTGTTAGAGCTAATAAAGGTGCTTATTCAAATTTAAATTAACAGCAGTCTGTTAAACCATTACAAATACATAGACAGATTCAACATTTGTTTCAAAGCTAAAATAGTGGCTACTAAATTAGCACTTTCATTATTCAACATTTGTTTCAAAGCTAAAATAGTGGCTACTAAATTACCACTTTCATTCTTTCAGTCCCAAATCTTATTTGGCTACTAACAATCTTTGAACAAATGTATTAAACTATTACTTTTACAATCTCTTCAATCCCAACAGAGAATGTGTCAAGCTTTGCTTCTGCATTATCTTAGTGATTTGACCAGAATTATTTTTTCAGTTTCTACAATCTTCAAAGCAAGAATCAAGCCTAAAATTGCCTGAAAGCTTCTGTCTAATAACAATTCTTTTTGAGCATTATCTTAGAAGGCTAAGTAACTTTCTTTAGGATTTGTCCCTAATACAATGTGCTTAAATCTCACTGTATCCTTAAACCTAAGGCAAACAGCTTTCAGTTTTATGCCATCATATTGTAACAGTTAGAATTTTTAAAATTACAATAATGGCTACTGAATTAGCCCACAGTCAAGAATTCCTCATTCTTGCAGCAATATCAGTCTCAAACTTTTTATGTTTGCTTTATATGGCTCATAACCATCTTTGGAAAAATAAGCTAAACTGTTATTTTTCAATCTCTACAATCACAGCTGAGAATGGACCAAGCTCTGCTTCTGCATAATCTTAGTGATTGGACCAGAATGATTATTTAACAGTTCATGCAAACTCTAGAAAACGAACCAAACCTACAATGTTTTAAGATTTCTATCACAGAAGGCTCTGTTACCTTCAAAATTAAAATAGTGGCTACTGAATTAGCACCCAGTCAAGAATTCCTAATTCTTGCAGCAACATCAGTCCCAAACTATTTTACGGCTCCTACAGTCCCCTGGGGAAATGGACCAAATTATTTTCAACAATTCCTACAATCTCCATGAGAAAGGACCAAATTATTTAAATAATTCCTACAAGTACCCTGAGAATGGACTAAGCCTAAAATTTCCACTGCTCTTTCAAAATCTTTTGATAAATGGACAAATTGTTTCTTTTACAATTTCTGCAAATATCAAGAGAAAGCCTGAAATTTCAGCAATACTATCACTGTATTTAGTTTATTACTGCACTACATATACAGGTCGATCTGCTTACTTTAATGGTTACTTATAAAAGATGTTTCTTTTAAGGGTTCTTTAAGAGAGCTGATAAGTTTCACTCACCAAACTAGGATCTTTGAGATGAGATCCAGTTGATTAAAATAAAGGGTGTCCACAGATACAATATGTAGATCCAGGACTCGTCCACAAACAAAATCCGTTTATCTTCAGCTTTAACTGTAGATTCTCCAAGATTCTTCAATTCATTTCTTGTTGCAGTTGATGAGTTTTCCTCTTTTCAGTCTCTCCTGGCTGGCTTCGCCAAATTGTTAGATTTTGCTGTATTTGGCTTAACCGTTCTTGGGGGGCTCGCCAATGTATTAGATTACTCTAACACATAAAATAAGTAAGCTGACCAAAGTTCTTACGGAGAGAAGACTTTATTGAAGACAATGAATAGTGCAGTTCCTGAGCAGTGATGTTAACCCGTCGGTCTTCAAGTAACTTAACCCAAAGTACTGTCTGTGAGACAGTACTTTATACTAGCATCAAACAAACCATTCTGTTTACGAAGCTCAGCAGGACCCTCTTCAGATGTTTCAGCTGTTGTTTTGCTAATACCCATTGAGATTGTAAAAGGGTCATTTAGTTCACACCTATCAGTTTGTGGGGGTCGAGGCACAGGTCACCCCATCATATCACATCAGAGTTTAATCAATGTAAATGCAACTGAACTAAAATGCACATAATCTTTCAAACCCTACTCCTTACGCTAAGTTTAATGACCACACAGAGTCAAGACCTCGGTTTAACGTCTCATCCAAAAGATGGTGCACATTCAGTATAGTGACCTCTTCGCTATATTGGAGCATTAGGACCCACACAGACCACAGGTTGAGCGCTCCCTGCTGGTCTCACTCCCAACTCCACTTGCAACAGCAACCTTCCCATGTAGTCTCCCAATCAGGTACTGACCAGGCCTGGATGCTTAGCTTCAATGGGTAACCGGTCTTGGGCTGCGGGGAGAAATGGCTGTGACTAAATTGTGTATAGTGTATGAGTGTCTGTATGTGTGAATAAGTGTGTATGGGGTTTCTCAATACTGGGTTGATGCTAGGAGGGCGTGCGCTGCATATGCTAGAATAGTTGGCAGTTCATTCCACTGTGGCGAACTCTAAAATAGAGACTAAGCCAAAGGAAAATGAATGAATGAATACAAGTCAGTGTGACAAAAGGACTATATTTTGTGTCATATTTCCCCCCTCTATCTAATCAAAGACCAATCCAAAACAGATCATCCGCCACAGTAAGCAGAGAAATGTTTGAATAGCAGATTTTCATGACAAATGTGAAAGGCAAAAAAAAATTGGTTTCATCAAATGCATGTGTGGGCATGTCATGGTGTGAAAACAGTCATTGTGACAGACCTGAAGCTGACGGACAGCCTGTGTTTTATTTTGTGGACAGCTCAACTCCAGTCCCCTTATTTTGCTTTCTGTTTGAAATAAAATGACTGTATGCATTAATACATCATGTGACCAGAGTGCTATGCATTTTATTTATTTATTCATTTATTTTTTACTATTTAAAATAACTGATTTTTATTTAATTATATTAAAAAGTAATTTATTCCTTTGATTTCAAAGCTGAATTTCTTCAGTCACATGCTCCTTCAGAATAATTCTAATATTCTGATTATCCTTTTTTTATGTATTTTGTTTTTAACTTCTAATCTTTAGTTCGTGTTTCCTGTCTACTCCATGTCTGATCTGCAAAGAGAAAACTGCAGTTTTCAAGTCATACAATCTCAAGCTTCAGTAAATGTGAACTGCAAGAGAAAAAAAAAAAAGATTTAAATCATTAGACACACATTAGACAAGAAAAAAAGTAAATGTATTACTGTGCCTTTAAGAACATATATAGAGTTTAGATCCAAAAATGCATCTAATACTGTCAGTTTTTTTTTTTCTAAACTTAGCATTTTTCTCAGACTCCTATGTGTGGGCTCAGTAATTTTACATTTATAGTGACAAATAAGCTCTTTTCATTGTTTTTAAAGTGAAATAACCAAACATAAATATTGGAGGCTGAGAAAAACACAAATTTTAGGGGTTTTTGCATCTAAACAAAATTAACATAAAAATGTCTGCATTCACTTTCTTTTCATTAAAGCTGTGCGTCAATCATCGCCCTTACCTCTGAATCAGTGAATTCATGTATAAACGACGCACTCTGTATGATAAACTGATGCCAGATCAGCTTCTGTACACGCCATTTAAACAAGAGCTAAAGTGCAGAACACTTTGGGACTGGGGTGTGTGTTTAAGCAGACAATTACACTTAATAATATGTAAACCCATCCGTCTGGCGTGTTTTAATTTAAACAACTAATTTTCACAAGCAGTTGTAGAGCACAAACAGTTACTAAAGTAAACGAATGCTTTCATTATGCATTTCATTATTTCATTATGTGCATTCTTAAAGTGACATTTATCATGCGGAGCGTGTCCGTCAGTCAGCGCTTATACACACTGTACATTCACTGATTCAAAGGTTCCATAAGGGTAATGATCGGCGCACAGCTTTAATAGAAAGAAAGTGAATGTAGACATTATTATATTAATTTCAATGTGCTTTTAAAATTAAAAATTTATCAGAAATATGGGAAAATAGTTAATGATAGGATGATAGCGGGAACGGTAAATTACAAGTGAATCCAACTAAATGGGAGGGTTGACATGTTTGAAGTAACAGGAACTGTTTGTGGAAAAAACTATCCACACACTTGTCACTCTTTTTTTTTCTCCCACCCAGTTTTTTTTCTTCCACCTATTTTTTTCCCCCACTATCACGTCCCTTCTCGGTCTTCGTAATACGTGAAGCAAAACAACAATATTAAAAATTATTGAATAACATAAAATAAAATCAATATTGTAAAAATGTAATCTTTAGTGTCAAAAAGTATTGCAAACAAATATTAATAAACAATTAAATAAATCAGAATTTTTACCCCAGTCTTCAGTGTCACATTATCCTTTAGAAATAATTTCCAAAGTTAATCGAGTACTTTTATCATCAGTGTCGATGGAACATTCATGCTGCCTAATATATTAAAACTTAATAATAAATATTAAAAGCTGAAAAAGATCTACTGTATGATGGACGAAATAAATAAATATGCAAATAAATGAATAAATAAATATACAAATACCTGCATTAATAAAACAATAAATAAATTAATACGCTATGAAATTAATAAATATATACACAAATTGCATAAAACAATAAACGAATAAATATGCAAATAAATTAACAAATATATTTAAAAATCAACAAACTCCTGCATAAATAAAACAATAAAAAATATGCAAATAAATAAACAAATGTATATAAAAATCCACAAATCCCAGCATAAAACAAACAAACAAATAAATATGCAAATAAATAAATGTATATATAAATCTACAAATTCCTGCATAAAATGATAAATAAGCAAATAAATAAACAAATATATATAAAAATCTACAAATTCACGCATAAAAAACTATAAATAAATAAATATGAAAAAAATAAACAAATGTATAGATAAATCTACAAATCCCTGCATAAACCAAATAAATAAATAAATAACCAAATAAATACGTAAATAAATATTTATATAAATCTACAAATTCTTGGATAAATAAAACAATAGATAAATAAATACATTTAAAATAAATGAACGCAAATTAATTAATTAATTAATAAACAAATGTATATATAAATCTACAAATTCCTGCATAAATAAACGTGTAAATAATTAATAGTGCGGTGTGAAAGGGGGAAGAATGTACTTTCAGTTTAGCATTTTCTTATTCCCCCAATATCTGTGTCATTTATAAATCTGCCCTCACTATTTATATATTTATTTATGCAGGAATTTGTCGATATTTGTCCATATATATATATATGGAGGTTTTGTCATCTATCCTACTGTATTGATAAAAATTAAACATCTTTATTGTCTCTTTTAATTCATTTAGTTCTTGTTGAATGAAATACAAAACTGTGTGTTTATTTATGTACTTAAAATTAATCCCATTTGTTGCCACCAGTAAAAAACCATCTCAGGTACTTACATAATTTTAATGTCCTACCTCTGTTATACAGAATTAATTATCTGACTCTTCTGACAGCTAATCTAAAATAAGTAGATGTTATATTACTTGTTTAATAAACTGATTGAATTTCTGAATACATGTAGACATCTTTGTCTAGTGGCGCCACCTACTGGTCAGTGCCAGGAAAGCAGCAGGCTCTGTAGAGGTTAGTGAGTGCAAAAAGCAGAGCCATCGCCATGCTGAGCACATAAGACTGCAGCAAAGTGTCTGTCTCTTAGTCGCCCGCTCTCCTTTCTTGTCGGTCTGATAAGGCTACATAATACAACAGAGTACACCTATGTCAGCACATCATAGATCCATTCAATGGACTGAATACAGATGTTGAAGCCGCAATCATCTCAGTAGCAAACATTTGCAGGAATAGTTCACCTGTCATGGTTAATTCACCATAGCATTGTTACAAACATGTTTTTTCATAAAGGTAATATCAGCCGCCATTTACTGTTATGGAGAAAAAGATGCAGCGATGCAAGTGAACGGTGATTGAGCCTGTTATTCTGCCTATCAACCAGAATAATAACAAAATAAATGCTATTCTTTTAAATAATCAATGTCTTCTCATAAATAATAATAAATAATAACAATGCATGAATATCCCAGGCCGGGTTGAGGCTGGAATGACATTCGCTGCTTAAAACAAATGCCAGAGTAGTTGGTGGTCCATTCCGCTGTGGTGACCCCTGATAAATCAGGTACAAAGCTGGAGGAAAATGAATGAATGAATGAATGAATGAATGAATGAATGAATAAATGAATGAATGAATGAATGAATGAATGAATGAATGAATGAATGAATAAATGAATGAATGAATGAATGAATGAATGAATGAATGAATGAATGAATGAATGAATGAATGAATGAATGAATGAATGAATTAATTAATTAATATGTAATGTCATTCAGATTCAAAATATTTTTTATTTCTAAATGAACCAGTATCTAATGCAGGGGTGTTTAAACTCAGTCCTGAAGGGCCGGTGTCCTGCATATTGTAGTTTCAACCCCAATTAAACCCCCCTGAACCAGCTAATAAAGCTCTGTCTAAGTATGCTAGAAACTTCCAGACAGGTGTGTTGAAGGAAGTTGGAGCTAAACCATGCAGGACACCGGCCCTCCAGGACCAAGTTTGGACATCCCTGGTTTAAGGCAATCAAATGCACACCTTTCAATAAGCCCAAAGTAAATGTGTGTGTGTGTGTGTGTGTGTGTGTGTGTGTGTGTGTGTGTGTGTGTGTATATATATATATATATATATATATATATATA